GAAGGTAACTTAAATACCCCCAAGCTGATTACTAGCAAGTAAGGGGTAGTGGAAAATTCGATGCATGTGCCTGATTTAGCTTTATTTTTCCAACTCATAAAACAACCCCTAACCGTCATACAACACACATCGGTTAAGCTATTTCTTGCCATATATCATTTGCACATGTATCATATACCCACTTGTCCAAAGTCTCTAAAGTTAGTCTAGTACATTTATTATCCGACAACTCTACCAATGATAGCAGATGACACGTTCTGCTAGCGATTTCGGACTCGACGAATTAGTCGCGTAAGCTCCGAATATCCTACCGTTTCCTAGGTTCGTGGCTCTGTTCATCCCACGCATGTTGTGGCTTGTTCTCGCAGACCGCGCATGTGCAATTGCTCCAGTCGCCCACTTTCACCTCTGGTTTTGTGGTCCTGTTTGATTAACTAACTCCTGTTCTGAGCAACTGCATTCAACACCTCACTTAGACCATTACAAACATGTATAGTGAATAACAAAAATATAAAATGGATCAGTGTTTCAATGTTAAAACGATAAATGTGTAATATGCAGTAGTAGGTTATTTGCGCATTACGTAGTTTGACCTGCGACATTTGACCTCTGAGTTCTCCTTGTTCGCGGACCAAGGGACCTAAAGTGCATAGACTAATTTCTCTTGCGAGTATAAGGAGAGTTTAAATAATCGAATCGAATAACCGAAATCGATCAACTCCCCCTGCTACTTCTCCAAATAAAAATTGTTAGCCGTGGCGAGTGTACGGGAGCGTTGGATTTTGACTCTTTGCGGAGGAACCTGGTACACTATTCTAAAGGCAGGTTTAAGATTCACCTGACGTTCAGTGTCGACGATATAAGCTACTAATAACTCCAGTGCCAGCCAATGTGGGCACTGTTTGTTCAAGGGTTTGTGCAAATGTAGCACCGTTCGACCGATGGGCATTGCACCACGAACACATTAGAACTGATAAATCAGTATGGAGCCGATCAGCATTGTCAACGTGTCCTTGTTTCGGGAACGAATCAGTAGTTGGGGTGAAAACGCCCAATTTAAAATGGCTGCTGCGAAGGTCAACCTAATTTCGACTGAAAGAATTCTGCTCGACCACTTTCATTGGATTGTCTGTCCCTTATGCCCTTGGCTTCCAACCGGTGTCCCATTGGCTAACGTCCCATGACCAATGACTGTGTTAACAACGCCAAAACAGCGTTCTTAGCCACGTTGACTTGAAAGCACTGCACGCGATTTCAAAAATGCCACGCTAAAAGCTTAGTACAATGACTTAACATGCCTGTAAAATGGTATAGTTAGCTGCTCAGAATCTACATCCCCATTGAAAGACAGCCGTATGAATAGCTTTTCCTAAGACATTGCCATCGCTGGTAATGGCATGGGTTTATTTCGTAATTTCATTGGTACAAATCTGTCGGCATATCCAATTTCACGCAACTATTCTGTATGGACATCAGTTGTGCTTCAACGGAGTCTTCCGAACAAATTTGACATACTGTTGTGCTAAAGACAATAAATTAAGTTGAGGTTATATTTCCAAGGAACAAAACTGTGGAAGTTCGTATATTGACTAATCAATGTTGTTATTACGTAGATTTGCATCCGCGTGGAGTGATCTGATTTTCCAGCGAATAAGACATAAAATTACATCAGCTGACTGTCAGTTTCTTTTACATAAGTGAACTGCAGTGTCGCAGGGGCTCAGTTTAATCGGTCAAGAATCTCCTTCAGATTGAGGTGTTTAACCGCCAAGGATTATATATCGTTTGTGTATGGATGGTAGCCGTCAGGTGTAGTTAACAGTTGTATTTTGGTTCGATGCAACTTTGTCATGAATAATCTGTTAGCAGCGGACACAGCGGTTATCCCCTGGCCAAGCGGTCTCTCTGCCGATAGTCCTTGCCATTGCATAGGAGTTGCACATCTCAGGTGTAGCGCAATAATAAGACATTTAGCTCAGACTTAGGTGTACACATGTTTATTTCTGACCTACTGAAATATTCCCAAATGTAAGCTGTTGACTCAATCAGTGGGACGTTGATAAAAAGCAAGCCGATATCCAAGGCAATCCTTACTTTCTCATTCATTATAGTATCTTTTATGCCTTCGACAAACTGAAAGCTATTACACAGACTGTAAGTCATAAGTAGCCGTTACACCGGTTCAAGTATTCCTACAAGCCACTGAGCAACCGCATGGTAGATTGAGGTTAGCATGGACATAATACGACGCAGCAAACTGTTGACTTTGTGGATTTTGCAACACATAAATCCTTGGAACGTTTATGTCACTCGGCATGAGACAGTCAAACAAAGCATGTGAAATATGCTCTTTGGCTCAAAGTTCTTGCGAACTATTGGTAATCTGTCTTAACTTGTTCTGTGTGGTCTGTTTCCCCATTTTACAAGAGAATTTGTTTCGTCGTTCAGTATTGCAGTAAGCTATATATATATATATATATATATATATATATATATATATATATCCTTTCGTAGAGTAACATAATTCGGACACCCTTGTCCGGTATACACATGGTAACCTCTTCACTGAGCTTCTGTTCCTTCAACGCTTCTATGTGTTTTCGTGTTAGCGGACCATGCTTACCGACCTGATGTTTACAGTACTGGTAGCAGTAATTCACCAAACAACACAAAAGGTTTTAGATCCGTATTCGATTTTGCGACTAACCACTTCGTCTGATCTAACAGGATTTCAAATTGTAACCCCTAATCGGGATGGTTATCCCTGCGGCTAGGGCGCAAAATTATAGACTAAGAAATGAAGCTTCGATTAGTTTGCGTCCATTTTCAAACTAGTGAGTTTGTATGCACAAATTTCTGGGTTATTTGGAAACCCAAATTGCGACATCAGTTAGCTGTGGCTGTTCCCCATAAGGCCGGCCGTCACCGCCATTATGGTTCCCCTGTTAGATTATCCTATTGTGGGCTAGAAGGCGCGTTTCAAGTTGCATTGAGACTGACGCTCTTGCTTGGCTAAAAGATTATTCCCATCCCTTTGTTGATTTTGTGGTTTATTCTTTATTTGATGCTACATTGCTGGTGTAATATTCCTACAGTCTTCAACGACCGTGACTTTTGAACTGTTGGGGTGACCGTCCACCAGTTGTAGGTTGATTGTAAATTCTTCGCTCGTGATCTGCCGCACTAAATCGTTGCAATTCCAGGTGTACCAAGTCTTGTCCAATGTCCAGTGTTTGTTTTATTGTTTACACAAGCAGTTAGGTTTTTATGTTCAAAACATATCGCATCCGGTATTGGTTCTGTGTGACATTGATTCTGGTCTAAGCAGCGCTGAAAAACCGAGCTAAACATTCTGTCAGTTGGCTTGCTGCTGCTTCCAATGCCTCTGGACGAATGGTATCGACACCCTGCGAGCTGTGCTTGCGTACAAACTAGTGGTACCGGATTTAAAGCGCCTCGCTCACCTTCTACACTTTGCGTGTCGAATGATGAAATATTTGAACGAATTGTCTGAGACGCTACTCAAAGCGAAATCGGTGTTGCAATTTAAGTGGTTCACTGATGCCTCATTGTGGACTAAGGTATAGGGATCGTATCGCACCCGGATAAGATGTAGTTATCTCCTGCAGTTTCCTGCTTTTCGCCGATGACGTCAAGATATGGCGGGCGATTAGTAACAAGCCAGATCACCATCTACTCCAACCTGACCTAGATTGCATGTACGAATGGTCAAAGAGGAACAAGTTCCAAGTGAACATAGCTAAATGCAACTTGATAGATTTGCGTCACCAGCCGGTGTGCGCTTACAATCTTGGAGACCACACCTTGGAGAAGGTCTCTCAGGAGCTTGACCTGCGTGTATTAGTACAGGAAGATCTCGGGTGTTCGAAACAAACAGAGAAAGCGATGACAACCGGCAATCAACACTTCGGCCTTCTTCGCAGAGCCTTCGGTCGGTTTGAACCCTCAATCTTTCCCCAAATACTTAACGTCTACGTGCGACCTCACGTGGAATATGCTATTCAGGCCTGGCAGCCGTGGCAGAAACAGGATCCCGTTGCTCTCGGGACTCCTCAACGACGGGCAACCAAGAACGTCAGGGGCCTCTTTCATCTGCCCTATCAGCTTTGACTGAAATCGCTAAGAACGTGCAGCAGTAGGTATCGGCTTTTGCGGGGGATATCATAATGGGTTACTAGACTCTGAGGAACCCAAATAACATCTGCCTTCCGCTGCTGCAATTGAACCACAACACTATACTAAGAGGTCATGCTCTGAAACTGACAATTCATAATAACCGGCTTGGATGCCGTAGAAATTTCATTCCCATCCGCGGTTGCCAGCCTTAGAACGCCCTTCTTAATTATGTCGTCTCTGCTCTCAATCTGGCGATATTTACAAAACGAGTTGACAATGCGTTGCCTCATTTACATTACATTTTATGACTTGTTAGCCAGGGGCTACAAAACGCAATCAAACGGTGTCTTGACAAACGCCTAACCAATGGATTACTGGATTTATACGTTTAATACGCAAACCTTTTCGCTATTCCACATAAGTCTATGGTGAGTACACCACAATGCTTTTCACTTTATTTTGCAATTAATTTTTGCAATAGTTTCCACCCTACGGGATTTGTTAATCAATACTTTTTTGCCCGTATTAAACTATTGTTCCATTGTTCCACTGTTCCATAGTGCAGCTGCAATATGCTGCCACGACGCAGGAATCAGCGACGGGGTTCCACATATATTCCCCATCCACCTAAGATGGAGCAATACATATTTTACCCTCTCGTTCTCTGTTTTGGGTATTCAGTATTCAGTAGTAGAGAACAAACCGCTAGTTATCGACAAGTAATCTTCCATTGCGATAGGTCCCTGATTTTGAAAACTTTTCTCCGAAAGGAAAATAAGTCAAAATATCATTGTTAAACACGATGTTATGACAAGTGCAACATAGGATGACAGACAAGTGTTGCATTTGAACAGTGTGCCTACCTCGATGAAGCTTTCAGCTGGTGCTATGGAAGTGTGTAATGTATTGTTCAGCTCTGCTGTTTTAAAAGAGGCGTTGCCTGGCCTGTATGGTAGTGCTGGAGCATCACGTTTGACAGCAGAATAATACTGTGCCTGTTCCACTGAACAGGGCGTTGGTGCTCTTGCGCCTGGCCTTATTGCAGGCGGACATTTTGACTCAGATGCTTCCGGGGGCCCGTATGACCGCCGGTCATAAACTGGAATCGCCGGAACCTGTAGACCATACGGCAGGTAGAATTGTCCAGAGGTGTCCAACATCCACTCCTGTCCGTCAGACGTCAACAATGTGGGGGCCTGCTTTTGGTAGACAGAAAGTGAATGTGTAAGAATTTACAGAGAGCATGAACACACGGATGATTCAACTGTTATTGAAGTAGGCCACAAAATCCGTATCCGTAATGGACGATCTTATTCTTTTATGTTTAGTGATATATGAATAACAGTTTTTTTTACTTCTCTTGGCTTGAGTCGTGATACAGTAAGATAATGTCAAATTGAACATCGATTTATCCATACTAAGAAGCGCTTGGAAAATACGCTGAAAAACCAGATCGGATGAACAGCATCTTGCGCCATTATCCGATAATAAGAAAAGACAGCATAATTTCCCCTTACTTCATTTAGAAAGATGACGATTTGTCTTTTCTAAAGTCCTTACTCTAAAGCTTCTGGTTGCAGGCTAACATGAAAACTTTGCTTCTGAGCTATTTACTATGAGCAGATGATAGTCGCAGGACCAATAATTTCTACCACACCTATGAGATGAAAACAACTTAAACATCTAAAAAATTTAAACAGGAGCACTTTACAGTCACCTGTCAGAAAGTATTGGTAGCAACATGCTAACGTTTTCCCTAATAGCACTTGCTGTACCTGAGCAGAACCCAGTGTGCGATTTGGTCATTAGCCAACAGTCCTGTTTAGGGGTCGTCTTACATGCTTGCTATGTGAACGGATTGCAAAGCGCAATCTCAATGTGGACCGCGGTTCGCATTGAATTGAACCCTGGTCAGATCCATCACCGGTCTCGGCAATCGATTTGACCAATGTTAACTTCCATGAGAATCGCAGTCTCCATTGAGATTGCTTGCCCTAATCTACTAACAAATCTATTATTTTGAATGCTCCGTCCAATCAGTCACTAACCGTTGGGCCAAATGTCGTCCTCCGCGATTAGGGACTTAGGGATTGTCAAGTCAAGTCAAAGTAACCATTATACACCAGTGTGGGGGCATTTTCAACAATTTACACTGAGACTGCGGACATGCTATAACACAAAATCTTTGGGAAAACCAATTGAATTGACACAAAAAACCAAAAGGATTACGTTTCTAAACAAGCTAAGGTTCCCACAATTGTTGCATCATCCCGCTTGGGTCGACAAACAGTGGAGACAGGTAAGGCTACATGGAGTTGAGGTACAAAGAGGTACGGGAAAACAGAACTCTAAATTTCGATCGCGTTGAAGAGATGGATTCCGAACTAGCTAAAATGGCGTGAAGTGGGTGAGAAGTGTTTTTTCGACTCTTGTTTGAGAAGTGAACGCATGCGGCAACATGCTTGCTGACCAAAAAACCAACTAGGGTTTCTCTACTTAATCCAGAGCACCGGGAAATAAGTTTTAATAATCTCACAAGAAGTGTATAATCCATTTGAAGTTGTCCGTGGAAAATAATAGGGAAACAATACAGTCAATGGGAGAAAATACATGCATTTACAAGACTTTGAATTGGGGCACTTGGTACGGAGAGTATTTTGATCCTAAACGAGATAGTCGTCTGACATTTTGAAAAATTTAATGGATTTGCGTCTACCAGGATAAACCATCGGACAAGAAGACACCGAGATACCTTACGGAATATGAACGAGAGATGCTTTGGTCACTTACAACCAAAAAAGCATAGGATTGTAAAAAATAGCACAGTCTTTCGGGGCGGAGAAAAGAGAATGAGATATCACAACACTTAGAAGTGTTGATGGGGAGGGGACGCGCGCTTGATTAAATCGCAACTTCCTATAATCAACGCTGGAGTTTCGACGATTCCGTGCTTACTGTGGTTATACACCCTAAATGGACGTCGTCAGCGTATTTGGACTTGTTAAAACTGGTTGGTATATGTAGAGACTCAATCTGGAGGGAAAACAGAAGGAGGGATAGAACATATCCTTGTAAGACCCCACAATTGGCTGGGATTGAGGAAGATCATCTGCCGCATAACTGCGTGAAGTGTGAGTGCATCGTAAAATAGTCACGTAATACAGTACATTCTTATGGGGGAACGCCATTTTTGTACAAAAGGTTGCGTAGTAGCAATGTCAATGCTCCAGAGGATTAGTATAATCAAGGAATAGGAGCCGCACATTGCTGCAGTTTTTATCCAGAGCGGATGCAATGGAAGGTAAAAGATACGAAACGGAACCCAGAGTAAGTGCCCGGAATTGCATGAAAACCCGTTTAACATCATACTTTAATATCAGACAAGGTAACATCAAAATTTGTTCACTGTCAGTCATGTGCTTCAGTCTTACTGAACCAGAGGAACACTCTGTCAAAGACAAACTGTTAGACAACTATGAGGCTCCATGAGGCTCCGTATGTCATACAGTTGGGGTCCATGATAATCCGGCCAGTGTGATGCGATTCTACCACTTTCAAACTCGGTACCCAATGGTGGTCTTCGGCTACTCAATAAGGAAGCAATGCATATGCTATAGTCCTGTGAGTCAGTCGGCCCCCAAGCACTTAATGCCCTATTCGCATGTTTCCAGATGTTCCTTTCAGCGAACATCGTAAACGCAAACAAAACACAGATGATTACAGTAATCAAAAGACGAAAGCAAATTCCTCCTCATAGTGTCCCGGATTTTTGGAATTAAAAAGTTCTGGAGATTTAAAAAAACGACTGGGATGAATGATGCTTCATTAGTTAAGTGTGCTCTTTCCAAAACGTAAGCACCAGCTGACATCGATGATTCCATAACCCCCCAACTACGAGTGATGTAAGTAACATTGCAGACCAAAACCATGACAGCAAGGGCACACAAAATTGTGCTCAAAATGCTTAAACCATTGTTATCCGAAACACAGGATGCCTCTGCAAATATCGACGTGTGGTGCCAAAAATAGAGAAAACAAGTTACCTACAATCCGACTTTACAGGCTTTCTACTTAACATTAGCCACAAAACACTTCTACAATCGGTTGTAGTCTTTTAGAAACCGTAAGCAAAAGCTTCTTGTACATTCCCTTGAAACACTGTGATGACGTGTTGTTGGATATCTGCAACGTCTGTGAAGCGTAATACTTACGGAGATAATTTAAGGCTGGAAACCAAAATAAGTCAGCCGGCCTTAAGTCTTGGGAATAAGGAGGGTAGTGAATAATATTTACCTTGGGTTGAGCACGAAGGTTGATGACGTAGATCCCAGTGTGTGGACGGTCGTTGCCTTAGAGGAAATCCAACTATTAACTCCGGTACAATACTGGCTGAGCCCACCGGATGTGTTGCAGCCGCCGTCTCAAAACTTTCTTGTTAACTTCCGTGTTGACAGTTTGCTTCTCCTATAAGCTTTCTTGTTAGATACAAGACGCCAACCGTCCGCAAGCATCCATCGCAGTTGTTCGGCGTTGTCGTGGCAGTCGTCTAGAAAGCGTCTCATCCTTGGCACCTACCTTACCTTCTCCAGAGCCTTTAACTCACTCAAAAATGCAATTTTACTCACTGCTTTAATACCGTGAAATTGCACTAACATTTCATAATTGGCTGTCTCCGTGTTACCTAATTGGAAACAAAATTTCGTGTTGACGAGTCGCTTCATTTTGCACTGATCCGAAGTCTCATACTGTTCCGGTTAGCTTGGTCGTAGCAAGTAGCACGCCTGCATTTCGGTGTTTTGCTTGTTGCTATTTTCTCAGTGCGTGTTCGCGGTCCCCACAACCCTAACTAGAGCGATTTTTAACATATGGAACAAATCAACAAGCTTTGTAGACTCACACGTTACATATAAAACTGATGGACATCCGGGAACAAATAGACGGGAGAACCCTAAATTAACAAGTCGCGTGTGCGGCCCTGTCAGCATGCCGCTCCGAACCGGGATACCGCTAGAACCCTCGGACAGCTGAAGGAGACCTGAGTTATCAGCTACCTACTGATAATGAGCACTATACACACCAACCCTGAAAAGCGCCGAACCTGTGTTATCTTTCTAACAAAACAATATGACTTTGTTGATTTCATGAGTGTCAGAACAAACTCTCACCATAAACCCCCAAGTATAAATGTGTTTCTAACCTCTGCGGTCCTCACCTGCTTACATACCAACGAGCATTGTCTTCTTAGTTAGCCAACCGAACTTCATACTCGTCAGTTTTCAGCGCCTTTCGACATGGTGTTGTAAATCAAAGAATAGTTGAAGATGAAGATCACAGATGCTGAGCTAGTTCTGCTCAATATGATTCAATATGATTCTCTTACAAAACTATAGACTCAACTTAGAATAAGGATTAACTAGATTGTCCCTATTTGACCTACCATCTATAATCAAAAACGTAACTTTTCGTTACACTTTGCGCCGAATGCACAAGCGACGTGGTGATGTGTTTACTAGCATTAATTTACCTCCATCCACCGTCCACCTTAAAAATAGATCATCGTCAAATGAGCTGAAAGTGCCTCAAACCATTCCTTTCGCAAATGCAACTTACAGTTTACAAATTTTCCATCAGTGCCGTTGTTGACGTTTTCGCGACGCACATCAGATTTTATCTTACTAATGAGTAGTGGGAATTTGGTGTGTTTAGAGATAGTTCAGCAAGGTTCACTCTCAGTCAAAAGGTTTTGACTAGTCTGGAAAAGCACCAGACAGCGGTCTTCCGGCCTACTGGATCTCATCAGTGTTGCGCTTTCCAGCGGACCTTTGCCATGTTCCGTCCCACTGGCTCTCGGATGCTAGCAGCTAGTGCCAGTTCGCCACTTTATCTATATACCAGTTCACTGCACTTTGTGTTGAAGTTACAACTACTTGAAATTAGTGGGTATGATTGTGGGTTAAAGGTGCATTTCGGTTTAGAATTTCGAGAACTTTTACAAAGTTTGACGGTGATTCATGAGGAAGCAAAAATGCTTACACACTTATTGTTCACAGATACTACTACTTTTTCAATTTGAATTATTTGAGATGAAAACTTAAAACATTATTAGCAGTAGTATGGTATGTGCTTTCTTCTTCACATTCGGCATTACTGATAACAAATGAAAGATAACGTGTTTAGGTTCTTTGTCGTATAAATGGAA